TCCCTAGAAGACAAACTTCGCGACCAACAAGTCTCGGCAGCATAGCGCCAAGAACGCGAAAAGTTGCTCCCTTCTTCTCTTGGTCCATAATGCTGATACAAAAAGGACAGTTAGTTTGGGCGCAATAAAAAAGACAAAAAAGTCAAGGGATCGGAGATATTTTATTGTATTAATCAAAGACCCATCTGTACATTGTGCACATATTATGCTAAATATGTGAGGATGAAAGAGAGGGACACTCAAATTTTGAAACCAAGTGCACGCAGACAGGCTGTGTGTGCATCAATGAAGTCTTTGCAATGTTCCTCGCCATGTTGAATTATACAGTTATCACGAGCTAAGCGGGTTTCCGGACAGGCACAGCAGGGTTTTAACGGCTTTCCATCTTTGCCTATTGGTAGACCATCTTCGTTGCGCCTAACCTCGTTGGCCTGGTCAGACATTACTGAGATGGAAAAATATGATCAGAAGTTGAATATGAATGTGAAAATAGGGAGAACAGGCGATGGGTGAAGTTTTTATTGACGACTTCCAAAAATAGAGGAACCAACACGAACAAACTGGCTTCCAAGTTCTATCTAAATAAAGGAAAAGTAAGAAAATGGGGCAAGGTACGGCTTGTTCAAAGTCTGTAGACATGCCCATGCTTAATTCGACTTCCGTCTTTGGTATATCTAAGGCATGACAGAGACTTTCACGGCAATTAACGAGCGACTACGAATAAATGAAGCAATTATTTCAAACCACAAAGTCCGGGTTTGGGCCAAGAGATGGGTCATAGCCGTATTTCCCAATTGTCATTATTCCACGTATTCGTAGCTTATCACAGGATTCAGAAATCGATTTGTACAGTTCAACAACCCCAGGCACCGGAATACCGCCCTTTTCTTTGAAAGATCAATTGCATGAAAAAGTTAACTCACGCTCCTCCCCACTTGTATTAACCTGAAGTAGAATATCAAGGAGCTTGGAAGAGCGCTTAGCCCACTCCTTATTTATAAGGGTAGCAATGTGTAAGCTTGATATTGTTTCTACAACAGACAAGTTAGGGACGCCTATTCAAATAAGGGAAATGCAGCTTTTCACTTAAGAGGAGTTTAATCTTGTTTGATTGTAGTCTGCCAATAAAGTGCCACTGAATATCAGGACATTGGGCAAGTAACTACAACCATTAGACTAAACATTTGCCAACCTTTTCATCAGTGCTCTTTTTATGCAACTCCTGAACCTAATCTGAGATCAAGAAAAA